AATCACAGCTCTCCACGTGGCACCCCACCCACCGCTCCCTCACTACCCAAATATCCTCATCCTCGGTCCACAGTACCCTTTTTCTCCTTTTTAAATTCATAATCTAATTTTCCCAAATACACTTTACTAAACATTTTTTAGTAAAATTAAACTGCACTATAAATTTTATTCAAGCCTTTTTACTTCTTCAGGAGAGATATAAAAAATCAGGTTAAGAAATAATTAAAGCAGGAACAGTAAATATTAGGCGTACGAGGAGTTGGAATTAGGAGAAAAAAAATAATAATGATAAATGAAATCATAGAAAAGAAACAGTAAAAGTGAAGTAAAGTAAAGAAAGGAATGGGGGAATCTGGAAGGGGATTGGGAATTGAAGTGAAGAGGTTCTTACATTGATGGTGCGTTGAATAATTTTGGCTCTTTTCTTCGGTCTCTGAGGCAGTTTAGACCCTTTGATCGCCATGAAATCTTCTTCCTTCTCTTTGTTCGTTAGGGCAATTACGAACTTCGGCGGCCATACCGGTACGACCGTCTGCGGCGGCGCTAGGGCTTCTCCACTGCCGGACGAAGACCCGCCCTTTTTACTATCCGATGTAGCCGCGGATTTATGGTGCTGCTGGTTGTCGTTAATGGCCGTCGGTCTCTTCTCCGGCGCCGCCCTTTCCGGCGACGTAATTGCTCTCACACCGCCGTTGCCGTTGGCTCTCATCGCACTGGAGCAAATCTCAGAGTTCCTAACAATCAAAATCGAAATCGAAATCGAAATCAAAATCAAAACGCTCCAGTATCCTTAGTCCTTCCTACGAAGTACCCCCAGATTAAAGAAATTATAATTAATAAAAATCAACCCCGCACACAAATTACAAAACAAACCCTCAAAAACAAAAACAAATCTCGTAAGATCGATGGATTATTCATTAAAAAAAAAATTAAAAGAAAAAAGCAATTGGTGTTCTCTTTTTTTAATCTTTTGTGTAGGCTGAAATTACGGGATTGACCTCGGGGACGAATCAGATCGGTGGAGTAGTTGGGGGGAATCTGGCCTAGTATTTGCGTAGAAAAGGAAAATGGTGAGTGCTGGAGCCTTCGCCTTTGCTCTTTTAAGGAGAGACCTGTCTTTTCCATACGAACTCCCCCCCGACACCTCTCCGCCGTTGGATCTCGAATTTTCCAGGCTACGCGTCAAGCGGATCAGGAACAGTGTGGGGACACCGGTGCTCACTCCGATCAATGGATCCGACGGCCATAGTTGGCCACAACCAAAAACGGACACGTGGAAGAAAGAGAGGACGTGTCCTAATCAATCGGGTAAATCCCGAGAGTTGCTTCAAAGATCGGATCATCATACCACAACCCCAACTTGCAATTATTCAAATAGTGAAAAAAAGGACGATCAACTTGTCAATTCTGGATCTGCTCTGACAATAATTTTGTAAAATCTATTTATATTCATATTTCCAAAAATGGAGCTTAATTTTCAGAAATTATTTACAAACGTAAGACATATAACTTGAAAGCCCAATTGAAAAGCCCAAAAAGAGCTTGTAAAAAAATTCACCACGGCAGCCAACAAAAAGCAATTTTGAATTTTGAATTTTGAGGATCGGCTGAGATCAATCAGAGAAAAAGTTGGGGGCGGTACCTTAGCATACGCTGAGGCGGAGCTGGCGGCGGCGGTTGAGGAGAAATCGGCCGTTGACGGAGATTCAAATACCCATTACTGTGATTAGGGTTATTATGGATGATGGAGGTGGGTTGGTGGTTGTGGTTCACGGAGTCTTTATCGGCTCGAATGACCCGGCGATCCACCCGGACGGTGGTTCTGTGAACCGGTGCGGCGGCGGAGACGTCCTTCGCCTTGACCTGGACTTTCATACAACGGAGACGCTTCCGGTTTCCCCATTGCAAGACAAAGTCCGACGGCGCAGGTTGCTGCTTGGTGGCGGCGACGGCGACGGCGGCGGCCTCAGATTTCGCCCGCAACAACAGTGAACCGTCCACGACGGTTCTGTCCCTACCATGGGAATTATTATTAACGAAATTGCCATGGCTGTTGATTCTGAGATGGTCCTTCTCCATCTGCTTTTTTTTTTTTGGAAAAAAATTATACAGCACCTGTCCCATTTCAAGGCGGGGTTAGTCCAAAGAAAGATTACCCAAAAGGTTCCAAACAATTAAAGTGGCAAAGAGAGAAAAAAGAAAAGAAAGAGAAAGAGATAAAAAGTAGACGCTGCAATTGGATTTGGTTGAAAATGTCTGCAGTATGAACGAAAAATGGAAAAAGCGTAGAGCGTGGAAGAATTCAATCATACTGTGTGGAAAACGAAGGTGTTTCGCCATTGATACTGGAAAAATCTTACTCGAGAGAACACAGATGTTTGGCTGCTGAGAAAAGAAAAACTGTAGACCTCTAAGAACTCAAATTCTGAAGACCAAATTATGAGTTTTCTCAATTGAATGATTGATCCGGAAACGAAATCAAAGAGAGTTGAAAGCAGAAATCGGTTCTGTTTTTTTAAGAGAAGTTAAGGGAAAATCTGGAGGATCTTCTTGAAAATGTGGGGAACTCAAAGAAGGAAGTTATCGTCCAGAAAAGGAAAGAAAAGATTTCCCATGGAAACAATTTACAGAGAACCTAAATTTTCAGGGGAGAAATTAGTGAGGATTGTAAAGGGGATCCGGATTTCCAATGCCTTAGAGAGAGAGAGAGGGAAGATGCTGCCACGGCAGCGGCAACTCGAATTTTCAAACTCCGAAAGCAAATTATCAGAGTCTAAGAATCCAAACAGAGGAAGGCGATTGCTATTCGATGCTGCAGGTAGCAACGAACCGGAAGAAAATCAAACCTCGGTCGAACTGAAATTTCGGATGAGCACAATTAGAACGGAGAGAACAGGGGCTGCAAAATCCACCTATCAAATAAACAATCAGTACCTGAAATTTCTGATCCGCGATTCAGATTATACTTCGCTTACAGTCGTCGGGTTTCCCCCAAAGAATCAGCTCCCCGAAGAATAGAAATCTGCTTCTTTCACCGCAACAGAAAACAAGCGAAATGTAAATCCAAATCCAAGAGTTCGTTATACGATTGCATTTTCATAGTCCAATTCTTCTTCCACTCTCAAACAAGGTAAGAATCTCTGTCACCGATGGCGACCTTCATCATCTCTCAGAAACCCTCAGCGAGCCACTGAAATCTGTTCAACAAAAAATTTCAAGGGTTAGAAACTGATTTCACAAGATAAGATCAAACACAGAACAGAGCGATGACCTCAAAAAACACTGATTGCAAATTCCCAACCTCCAAACCTCGAAGTTTCTTTCCTCGCGCCTCTGCACAAATCTAACTTCGAATTTGAGAACGAAAAGAAATCGATTACACAATCGGCCAACCAAACCCAGATTAAAATTGGCCTCTCCGATTACGACCGTGCCTTCCAACAATTTCAATGCCTCAAACTCGTCAAAGAAGCGAGTATCTCAGATCGATTAACCCACTAAAACGAAGAAAAATTTTGAGCTCTTGGGTGATTTTTAAAAGGTTCAATTTAGTCCCTCCCACAATCAATCATAACAATTTCATAGTCCACACCCCACTTCCCAGTTCCCACCCTGTTTGGCTCCCGGGAAAATGAAGGAAAG